CCGGTCGCCCGGTCAGTTCGTCCGTTCAGACCGGGAAATCGACCAGGCCCGTTTGACCAGGTCCGGTCGGCCCGGTCACCCGGTCACGTTCAGTCACTGCAATACGACACCCTTCTGCAGTGGGTCGTGCTACGTTGTTGTTGCTTTTCGTCTGGGTTTCGGGATTCACGTGAAGGGTTTAGGGTAAGGGCTCTCAAGGCTTCAAGGCTTAGGAGTTCTGACTGCAGCAGCCTCACTTCTTCGTTTAAAAAGTACTGTGCTGCTCCGGGGCATGGTAAGCTATGGCGGTAGCAGAGTTGCGACACGTGTTACTCAACTACTGTCAGCCCTGAACTACATACGGTCGAATGTACCCTGCCCTTAACCCCAGGCGACAGGCCCGAAACTCCAAAGCCTGAAGCCTACACCCGAAACGCTTACACAACCTTAACGCACCCCCTCTTCAAAACAAAAAACAATCTCAAAACCCCAAAACCCCTAAACCCCTGACAGCCACGCTCCAAAGGGAAATCGCCGGCGAGGCGTCCAGCAAGCGAAGCTTCGGCATTGCGACCTGGGCTTAGCACTGGAGAAGCCCAGAGGAGCTCAGGCGCTGCAATCTGGGGGGTTTTGGTTTAGGGTTTAGGGTTTAGGGGTTTTGGGTTTAGGGTTTAGGGGTTTAGGGTTTAGGGTTTAGGGGTTTTGGGTTTAGGGTTTTGGGTTTTAGGGTTTGGGGGTCTAGGCTTCTAGGGTTTAGGGTTTAGGCGTGTAGGGTTTAGGGGTTCTGGGGTTTAGGGTTTCAGGGTTTGGGGTTCTGGGGTATAGGATAAACTATTAGGGGGCCTAGAGGGCAGAAAAGGGTTCCTTCAAAGGGTTCCTTGGGGGCTTCTAACAGGCATACGGCAACAGGCTTTAACAGAAGGATCGTAAAGGCCTTAAGAATTAGAAGAGGGCTCGGGCCTATAATAGAGTAGAAGACGGGATATATAAGTAGAATTCTGATCCCCAAAACCATAGTATCGCTCACTGCCGGTGCTTCATTGGATTGAGGCCTTGAAGAAGTTTCAGTGGTTTAGGGCTTAGGGTTGATGGCACAGGGCTTGCGGATGCCTAGCTGCAGAGCGTGAAATTTAATGAGCAATGCACAGTTGT